CGCCATCAGTGTTCATCCACGGAAATTTCTTTTTCAATTGTGCCGGTGAGAAGAGAGAGACAGCTACTCCTTCCTTTCTAATAAAGGATAAAATAAAAATTAGATAACATTCATTACAACCCTTAGGAACTCAGACTACTAAAAATATTAATGTTTAATCAATGAGATCAGTAAAAAAAAAAAAAGTTCTACTGAAAATCCACAAAACAGAAAAGGCTTGTCTCCAAAATGTACAATTGGGCAAAAGGTCCATCAATTCTACTTGTTAAGCCAGCCATGTAATCTCATTAAACTGTGGGGGATCAACAGGTTCACTGTTACAGTCTGGCGGGTCAAGAATCAAGGAAATCATGTGAATTGCCTCACGTCACATCTGTCTCACAAGATGCTGGCTTCCTGCTTCTATTATTTTATAATGCCTAATATCCCATTGTTGCATTCCTAACAATTTTCTCCCCAGGGAGAAAGATGGGTTTGGTTCAAAAAGATGCTACTTGTGGAGAATTTAAGTCCAATCTTATCCTTTAGAATTTGGTCAAACAATAAATGGTGAGGACAAATTATGGCTTGCTTAACTATCACTTAGTTTACAAATCAAAATCAAACAAGCCCCTTTAGGGCCTTTCATACATAAATCAGGTCACTATGCTAAGTATCACAGAGAATTTGAAACCAAAGTACCATCATCTTTAATCAATAGTCATTTTTGTGTGTATGTGTGTGTATAGACGAGGTTCCAGATATAATTTCTTTTGTTGTATTTCTTTCTTTTCCCTTTTTAATTGCTTGTCCTTTTTTCCTTTGTTCTGTCTTATTAATTTAAATAACACCCACTTTTCTTGGATTCACAGCAAATTTATTTATTTATATATTTATTTATGAGACTTATATACCGCTTTAAGTGCAAGCACTCTCTAAGCGGTGTACACCAGTAAGCAGTGTATATATATATATATATATATTTACATTGCCCCCAACAATCTGGGTCCTCATTTTACCTACCCCGGAAGGATGGAAGGCTGAGTCAACCTTGAGCCGGTGAGATTTGAACCGCTGACCTGCTGAACACAGTCAGCTAAAGTGGCCTGCAGTACTGCACTCTAACTGCTGCGCCATCTCGGCTCATTAAATGAATAGAAAATGCATATTAATATGAAGAAGATAACCTGGGTAACCTTAGGAGACAACCACTGTGGCTTTACAACAAAATGTGGTAAAAAGAAATTGTTATTCATGATCTGTGTCAGCACCTTTCTCCATTCAACCAGAAACTCAAAAGATCTCTACCTTTGAATGTTTACATTCTCCTCCAAAACAGCAGCTTCATTCTCTGAAGCCAGAAAGAGGTAACCTGAGTGATTAAATTGAATATCTATGGGTGGTTCCCCAACAACACCAAGATGATCCTGGAATGAAGAAACAAAGGGATAGAGTGACAATTAGTAAGAGCGTGCCTTCCCATCATGCACGCTACACATCACACAAGGCAAATAACAGTTTGTGTTTAAAAACTCAAAGATTTATACTTTTTTTTCGTATCAAAAGGACATTCTTTGATATGGTTTGTTATTTTATGGTTATACTGAGCATTACTTATGTAACTTCAGTAATTCTTTCCATTTGCTGATATTATGTCTTTTGAACCCTTTGTTTTAAATAAACGTTTTTTGTAAAAAAAAAAAAATAAAGAGAAATGTAGCTCTTTTCTGGAGAATCCAGGAGTGTCAAACTTGCCATGTCACATGACGTGTCGTGACATATCGTGACTTTTTCCCCCTTGCCGGAGCTGGGGTGTGACGCATCCAGCCCGTGGGCCAGCAGTTTGACAAACCTGATCTAGATTATTTCACGATGATTGATAAAATCCCTACAAATTCATACAAGAGAGTCCAAGGTGAGCTTCCCATGAGATCAGGGATTAACTAAGGCTACTTCACAAGTTCACCTCACACATTTGATAACAGTGAATATAGCTAACAAACACCTTTGCTTGCAGATATTAATACAGATTTGGATTCATGTAACACCTAACCAAACCTTATCTCTTAGCAATCTATCTAATAGGATGCAACATTTATTATTTCTTCCTTAAAAAAATTCAGTCATATTATTCTCGATATCCAAGGAACTACCTAATACTGTCCCTCATTTTCTTCTTTCAAGATTACTTGCATACTACACCAGGGGATGCAATGGGGAGACGAGGTGGGAAGGCAGGGACAAGTAGAACAAAATAGTAACCATAGAACCAAAAGTGAGGTCCCTGAATTATTGAAAAACCCAGAGAGAGCATAACGTACATTGATTAAACGCAAGAAGTTTGCTGAGAAAGAACTCATCCAGATATTTTCTTCCACTGAAAATTGTTGCCGTATCCCTCCGATAGAAAGAACTGTGGATGCTTTGGAATACTGCAGTAAAACAACAGAGATAGCGAGGAATTACTTAGCTATACTTAAATCTCCTCTTCCAATGTATTTCAGTCACACAAATAGTAGCAAAAAGACGAGGAACAACATTGGTAGGACAAAATACTGAATTCGCACATACTGCTGTTTTGCAATTTAATGAATTACTTATTCCAATTAATCAAGTGGCACTTTACCCCTTACTTAACTGTATTACATTTTTATCCTATCTTTTTCTGATAAAAGTCTTTCCCAACTGTATATTTACAACTTAACATAACAAGAGAAATAATATCAGATTGAAGATAACCCACTAGGTTAACTGAACACTGATGCCAGGGTCTCACAAATGCATCCTGGAACTCCCAACCAAAGTGTAGAACCTCCTTTTGATTGAGCTACAACTCCCCAAATTTCTCCAACTGGCCAGGCTGGCTGATCCTAAAGAGATTTTTTTCAACAACCATTAAAGTTCTGCTCTAATTACTTTCAAACTTTAGCAATAAACCTGAATACAGTACTGCATCATTTGATAACACTCAATCTCATGTTTCTTTTGTTTAAGCGGAACTGAAATAAGAACTCACTGTATTATCTCTCTCAATTACCAATACTTGAATGGCATTTCTGTGTGATTCTTTTGCCTTCAGCCAGTAGGCAATGGACCAGCCTATTATCCCACCGCCAACAATCACCACATCGGTCTGTTCAGGAGGGAGATCTCTTGCCGGAAGGAAGGAATTAAAGCCACTTTTGAGGTTCTGGAAATTGGTCAGCTTCTTAAATTCTGAAAAAGGGAGAAAATTAAGCCAGGACAGCCATGTTATACAGTGTTTTGTGAATTCTAACAGTCACTAACATCCTTATAGTCTTATATAATCTGACGTTCACAAAATTGAGGCTTACTTATTTGAGACCACATAATCAGTCAGTCAGAGCAGCCTAGAAAGGAAGACACTTGCCTCACAATTCAGGAGACTGAGAGTTCAATCCTAGGCAGTGACAAATGTTTCTCTATCTGGGCGCAAAAAAGAAAATATCTGCTGTGAACTCCGCATTGGCATCAGGAAGGGCATCCGGCCAGTAAATGCTCGGTTCCATTCAGTTGCCCCAACTCCACCCCAATAAAGGGGATTAGAGGGTCATTAAAAGATATATATATATATATATATATATATATATATATATATATATATATATATATATATATATATATATATTATCTAGAGTGCTGTATGCTACACCGTTAACCCAAATATGGTAGAGAGAAATAGCTATTCCAGTTCTCCCTTAATTCTTTGCTAGCAATCCAAATTTTAGAAATATATATATATATTTGATATATTTATATATCAATAAATCAGTCAGTTAAGTCAACTGAGGTCTGCTGACTCCAAACAGCTTGAGGGTTTCTAAATAGGACGGGGCTCTTCAAACTTGGCCCTTTTATGACTTGTGGACTTCAACTCTCAGAATTGAAGAATTGAGGAATTCTGGGAGTTGAAGTCCACAAGTCATAAAAAAGCTCAATTTGAAGACCCCTGAAACAAGATACCCGAAGAGGAGCTTTCTTTAATGGGGGGACCAGAAGAAGCGGTGCCCGGAAAGCCCGGTAGAGCCAAGCCTGGGGGCTCAGCTGCCCCACCAAGGATCCCCAGGCTGGGATGAGCCCACCAGCCAACGCCATTCAACGAATACCCCGATTTTCTTCTCGGCCGCCCTCAGAACAACACCCCGGAGAAGTAGGATAGGCTTCCAGGGCGGTCCCTGGCGGAGGAAAGGGTCGTCTTTCCCTCCGCCGCGGGCTCACCTCGGAAGAAATTCCCGTCCCGGACGCTGCTGAGCCGAAGCGGCCGCCAGGGCTCCTCCGGGTTGGCGAAGAGCCGCCGCCGCGCCGCCAGCCAGGGGCGCAGACCGGCCAGCGGGCTCCCTCGGCTGAGCATGGCGCGCTCGGCTCCTCTTGACAGGACAGCACGGCGCCTCTCTGACGTCAGAGGAAAAGCTGCCTTTAAAACCACCGTCTCTTCATCCGCCCCGATCAAGGGCCAATCGGTGGCCACCTCGCAACCCCGCCCTCGAGCGGCCCAGTCCACGTCGCTCCTCGCTCTGACGTATCCAGGGCCTCTCTAAGCCCCGCCCCACTCGCTACGTCTCGGGAGAATAGCCCAATCCGATCTTCTTTGCCCTCCATCTCACTATTAGCCCCGCCTCTTCCGTCACGGTGGAGGCCGCTTTAAGGCTGTCGTGTCCAAAAGTCTCCCTCCTCCCCCGGTTTCCTTTTCCAACCTATGAATCCTTTTTCCTCTCTCTATTATTTCTATCTCTATCTTCAAGAAGGAAGCCCGGCATACCTTGAGCATCTTTCCTTCCTGGAATAAACATCCTGTGTCTCGATTTACAAAACGCAGGATTTTCACTCGCCGCTCGTGAATCCGGTCCGTTCCAAACAAAAGAGGAATAAGTGATAAAAGGCCACAAGACGTCTGAAGCAACTCTTCACTTTCTATCTCTATGAGCCGCAGAAGCCCCACCTCTCCCGAGGACGGGATCCAATCAGAGTTCAGGGGCTTCAAGAGGCTTCCGGCGGATGTGAGTAGTACTTAGAGAAGAATCTGACGTGGGTAAGGAAGTCGGGCTGGTTTCCCGGCGTTTTCGGTCCCGTCGCTCCCCGGTTTCCCCCCTTTCCCCCCGGGTCAGGGCCCGGCGCCCCCGATCCCGCCATGCTCGACTTTTTCACCATCTTCAGCAAGGGGGGGCTCGTCCTCTGGTGCTTCCAAGGCGTGCGCGGCCCCGCGGCGGCCTGCACGGCGCCCGTGAACGCTCTGATCCGGTCTGTCCTCCTCCAGGTAAGACCGCCCCCCCCACTGCTTCTCGGGCCCCGGACCCGTTTCCACGTGTGGTCTTCGTGGGGGTCGCATATTTCACCCATGCGAGACGACGACGTGGGGGAGGCGGAGACCCAGACGATCTGGGTTTCCCTAGTTAATCCTGCGATGGGAGACCACCAGGAGATCACGGGAAGAATTTAGAAGGGGGCAATAGCCAAACTGCCGAGGGAGGGAGGGAGGGAGAGATCGATCAATTAAAGGGAACTTTTATCTTATTTGATTATTGATTAAGCCCCTTTTTGGAACTTCCGGCTCCCCCATTCTCTTTAATCCTCCATCTCCCAGATATCCCGTCAATCAAATTTTCCGTCTGTTTGATCTTTTAGACGTCCTTAAGGGCTTGATGCTAGGGTGTAATTGAAATAATAGAGTCAATTCATGACTCTTGCATAATGATATAGCTGTACAAGTATTGTGCAATAAATAAATTATTTATTCCCTTCCACCTCCCTTGTAAGACATTATTACTATTTAAGGAATAGGAAATCTCTGTACAAATGAAATGTGCTCTATCAAGGCAGTGTCCTGCTCTTCAGGATTATGGTTTACAGTTGGAAAAACATAAAAGATCAAGAAATAATGTGAAAAGGAAAAAGAAATTATGAAAACTTGTTTCTTCTGCTCTGTCGTCATTCTGTAGTGTTTTTTTTCATGCTGCTGTTGCAACAGAACACCCTATATGCTTAATATAATTGTGTCTGAATAATAGTTAAGAACTCAGCCTTAAACTGGATCTTCCCATTAATTTGCATGCCTGTTGATCAATATTTTGAGCAGGCCAATTCTTGCATCGTCTTATAATTGGGGCATTTTGATCTCCTAGATTCCTAGTTTATTTGGGACAGGCAAAGTTACTCAGCATACTGCTCTGTCATTGAGCCTACAACAAATGTCACAAAGAGATTAGATTCTTTTAGTATGGTTCTTTCTTTCTGTAATATGGTTCTATTCTTTCATCTGACAATAAACTAGCAGGGATTTTTTTGGTGGGGAGGGGATTAAGTGTTCAGTTGCATGACTTATCTATTTCTTTGTCATTCTTCTTGGCCTTTAATAATTAGTTAACTCCAAGCTTCACTGTTACTGTATCTGAGAGATTAAATGTGCAACTGACATGTTACTTTAAGTTATAAGTAACTGGCAATTTTCAATTTATTCTTACCACATAAATCAAATTGAAACAACACATGATGTAATGTGTTTCATGAACTTCGCTATATAAATTTCAGTCAGATTATTTGAACTAGATCGGTGGTTCTCAACCTTTTTAATGCCGCGACCCCCCAACCGGTCGTAAGTCGAGGACTACTCAACCGGTCGTAAGTCAAGGACTACTCAACTGGTGCAGCACCGTTTGCAGAATGGGACTTTTGGCGGGCTCAGCAGAGCAGAGACAGCCTGGACAATTCCTATTGGCTTTTGAAAGCCAATAGAATTAGATTCTATTCAAGAGAATCTATTCTATTGGCTTTCAAAAGCCAATAGAATAAAAGAGAGTAGCACAGCCAAGGAAAAGGGGGAAAAAATGGTGGACTGCGTTGTTTGGCGACTCCCGTGAAATGGTCGTTCGACCCCAAATAGGGTCCCGACCCACAGGTTGAGAACCACTGGACTAGATCTTTTGGACCATAGGTTTTTCCCTTCTTCCAATAGATTCCTGCATTGAAAGACTATTTTTTGAATAAGTTACTCAGAAAACCTTTTTGTCCCCCGTTCCCCAATCATTTACTTGAGCACCAGATGGTTCTAACGACTTCAGGAGTTTTTTGGGCATTGTTATCCATTTACATCTAAAAGTTTTCCTTTAACCGATGGTTTCAAAGTCTATGCTGAGGAGTCAAATTGTACCATGTATGATGGGACTGTTATGCTTTCCCAGATCCCTTGCCAACAGGCTTTAAGTGATATTTAGTAATCTCCAGATGGTCTTTTTCAACTTTGCATTTGCTTGTTCAGAAGACATGATCTTAATGAATTGGTATATTCAAGCATTTCATGCTGGTCCAAGATAAAGAAATTTATTATAAGAGGTTTTCATTGATTTTGGATTTCCAGAATCTGGAACAATCCTTCTTAAATTTGTTTTTTAAAATTAATTTACCATACTCAGGTTCCACTTCCTATGCAATTCTTCTTAAAAAGAGTTGACAAGAAAAGTAGCAATAAACATTCCAACAATATAAAATTATATTCACTAAAAGAGGCATTTTTCCAACAATCATGTTCATGAGTTCTTAATAGGCACCCCGTAAGTTAAGCCGATCCTAGATCTCACGGGGGAGAGCATGGAGCACAGGGCCCAGAGCAGAAAAGGATCATCTGGAAGTAGCTGTTAGATGGCTTTCAATGGTTCTTGACAATCATACCATAGTGCTACCTGAAGTTGTATAGCAAGAAATGCTCAAGTGAGAACATTCTGTACCTCATCATATGAATCTGACTTCTGTCAAAAAAATATTAATTTTAAGAAATCAGCGAATAACATAAATTGGTTTTAACTAGATTCTCCAGGTTCCACATAGGATCAGAGATAGGATCCATTTGAGCTGAATTCCCTTTTATTTATTTGCATTGTGTTTGCTCTCCATTTTCTATTTTGTATTTTACAGTTATACATTGTCTAGGTTTAACATAAATTGAGTCTTTTGTAAAGGTTTATTGTTTGTTTTTCCCATCATACATTGGCTGCAGGGACCTTGAGTTGGGCAGTGAATCAATAACCTCTGGATGCATGCAGGCTGCTGAACGGGGACTTAACAAAAGCTTTAAAACCTTCCTGTTAGCCTCATATTTTTGAATGAATTACAGTATACTTTTAGCGGGCACAGATTGTGTATCTCGGAAATTAAGGTCTTGGGGGAAAAAGAAATAGAATTGGCATGCTTGTTCAACCACCTGTACATTGGAGATTGCCTCTTTCACGTTGGTCTGCACCCTAGTCCCCACTGCCAAGAATAATTGCAAAAGCCACATTTGACCTGTAGATCTTGCGTTTCATTATGTTAATTTTCTTCTTTTCAGGAGCGAGGTGGCAGCAACTCTTTCAACCATGAAGCCCTTACACTTAAATATAAGCTGGACAATCAATTTGAGCTTGTATTTGTGGTGCGTATGCTCTTTTGTGTTGAACGAAAAAGGCTTCAGCAGCAAATGAATACTAAACTGCAACTTAAAAGTTTCACTATTGTCTAGTTCTTGAGACATAGAACAGATGAAAATTGTGTGGCCTTTCTAGAAGTTACTGAATTACAACTTCTTGTCGGGTAGTTAGCAATGAAGAACACAGTTCAGCAACATATTCTTCCTTCCCAACGTTGTAATCCTATTGTGCTGAGGTTCACAAATCACACCATTGCTATGGAATATTTAATCCTGCTTTGTCTGAAAAACTATAGAACCAAATGCATCTCATGTTTTATAAAGTGAGTGAGTGAACCCAGTGTGTCATTATAGCAGTGACTTATACATGTTCTTTTCTATTTGAATCATTTCATGTATTTGGAAAGCAGATTAAGAAATGTAATCTTTGAAAGCTTGTAGTTCTGCTTGTGTGAAAAGAAACAGTGAATGGAAGCAGGTGATTCATACTGTGGACTATTAAGGCAAAAGAATTTACATATTCTTAGATATAAGCCCTCTTAACTATATCATTTTTTTTTTCTTACAACACAACTTCTCATTTTTTTTCTTACAACACAACTTCTCTTTTGCAGGTTGGATTTCAGAAAATCTTGACTTTAACCTATGTGGATAAGTTGATAGATGATGTCCATAAGGAGTTTAGAGATAAATATCGAAACGAGTTTCAACAGAAGGGAACTCTTGGGATCCTTAATGGCACTTTTGATTTTAAGGAGGACTTTTTACGTCTCCAACGGTAACAGAATCATCACTTTTGTGGTCACACACGTTCTTCTTGCGTTGACTTATCCCAGTTGCTTTATCTTTCGCAGCTGAACGTCTGCAAAGGGAATCAGTGACAGCAGGGCAAAGGGGAGGGCCGTGGGTGATCCTTAGGGTTCAGTTGTTATGCACTTTGCTGTAGTGTATTTCAGGGATTTTGGAGCCATTTGCTTTGTCCTGGCTACCAAATTAAATCTGTGTTCAAAAACCCACCACCCCTTCCAGAGCTGCAGACTTCCCAGCTATAAACTAGAATGTTTAACTCTGCAAACTGTCTAGAGAGGGCTGTAAAGGACTTGAAGTGGTATATAAGTTTAAGCGCTGTGGTGTTAAGTGCTGTAGGCTAGCATGTACCCAGATTTATGGCAGGCAATACTGAGATAAGCAGCTTGGTGTTCATCAGCTTCTTAGGTTCCTGGCCACTGAGAGTGCTGGCAAGTAGCACTTGGTCCAGAGTAATGGATATACCAAGAGCCGTGGTGACACAGTGTTTAGAATACAGTATTGCAGGCTTACTCTGCCCACAGCCAGGAGTTTGATCATGACTAGTTCAAGGTAGACTCAGCCTTCCGTCCTTCCAAGGTTGGTAAAATGAAGACCCAGATTGTTGGGGGCAAGATGCTGATTCTGTAAACTGCTTAGAGAGGGCTGTAAAGCACTGTGAAGTGGTATATAAATCTAAGTGCTGCTGTTATATATTTCTCCTTTACAGCAGATCATGGCCAGGGTTTCTAAACTTTTTGTCATCATATCTGCCTTTACTGTAATCTCTACACTAGAGGTACTGTACACACCTCTAAAAATCTAAGCACCAAAATGAACACCACTGACAATGAAAACAATACAGTAATGCTTTAGGAAAGGCAGTTTATGGTAATGATGTAGTGCCTTTCTTCTTCATGCCCCTGGACTCTTGTTAGAACTTCCCCAAAGAAAGTAGACCTCACAGTCTGGGAAATCATATCATGGAGGGAAGCAGATTCCATGCAGGAAAAAAATGTGGGTTTTTTTTTCCATGGTATTCCTAATATGACATTTTTCCTCTTTTCTGATCAGGGAAGCAGAGGAGAGCAGTAAAATCCGAGCTCCCACTGCTATGAAGACTTTTGAACAATCAGCAAAGTCCCAAAAAACAGTGAAGTCTATGATAGAAACTCGGGGAGAGAAACCAAAAGAAAAAACTAAGAATAAGAAAAACAAAAGCTCCAAAAAAGAAGGTGAGCTGGTATTGGTGAGTAAGGACTCACTGAAGGAGGACGGGATTTGTGTTTGCTGTACCTTGTAAGTTGACAGTAGATTCAGCTTGGAAGCTGCTTTCTGCCGGTCCCTGCTTCACCACCTTATATGGGACAATCACAATTTTGTTATTTCAGCTCAAGGAAATGAAATGGCTGCAGCTCCCAAAACCACTCCTGCAGTTAAGCTGGACCCTCCTCTTATAACTAGGGAAAAGGAAGAACTGAGTAAGGATGAAATTCTGAAGAAGAACCGGGAAGAATTCTTCAAGAAACGGCTGAAGGGTGGAGAGAAATCCAAGTAAGCGAGGCCAATAATTGGACAAGTTGGCTGTCTCTTGTTTCTCCATCCATCAGAACCTAACTTGGATGGTTGGAGATGCCCTCCAAACATCTAACATTACTCTTTATTGCAGTCAGCCAGGATAAGTACTATATATCTCCACAAAGCTTGCGAGGAATGTTTCAATTCAGAGATGCTTCAAGTGAAGGGTCTCTTTGATGTTTCTTTGCACAGCAGGCATAAATGAAGTGAAACACGGGAAGAGGCTTCTGTGCAGGCACAACACATGCACAAAAACCTCTTTCAGCGAGGAATTGCCGGAAGAAGTTCTGTAGTAATGCAACTGCCTCAGCAAGACCAACCATTTTAACTAGATGGGAAGGGAAAGTATAACGCAGAACACAGCCTATACCTTGTTCAGTGTAGCAGATTGTGGGTGCCAGCTTCTCAAGCAAGATTGCCAAAATCTCACACACTATTGAAATGTCACTAGCGGTTTATTATTTTATTAAATGGAAATGGGGGCAACTTGTATTTCCAGCCCCTTCTCTCTACGGTCCAACCAAGTTGCACGTATTGTAATTCAGAACAGGAATTCTGTTTAGCTCAGTACGAAGATCTAAAAGGTTTTTTTTGGTTTTTTTTGCCTTCCTTAGCAAGTCTCCAAAGCCGGATGCTCAGAAGGACAAGGGGAAGAAGCCCCGTGTGTGGGATACAGGGAACTCTAATGCCAAAGTACTTGATTATAGTAACTCCACTACTAATGGGAACACAGAGGCTTGTCCCATGGAGAATTATGATGCGGAAATGGTAAGATCTCCACTTTCCTGTCCTTGTGGTGGCTTTGTCTAGAGCAGGGGTAGTCAACCTTGGCTAAGCTGGCTCAGGAATTCTGGGAATTAAAGTCCACGAGTCATAAAAGAGCCAAGGTTGACTACCCCTGGTCTGGAGCCTCGACTGGGGTTCTCCAGAGCTAAAGTGATTTTTCTCGCACGGAAACCTTCAGCACAGATTATCAGGGCTTCTATATCATGAGACATTGGTGCAAACGTTGCCACTAAAGCAAATGTCGTGTTCTAATCAATGGCTGAGCCACATTTGCAAAAGTAAAAGATTAGCTGAATTCTGGTTTAGCCACTGTTTATTAATTAAGCCACAATAAGTGCTGTTTGCTCAGGGGGCTAAGACAAACTGTTTCCGATTCAGCTGTTGGTAGATGGAAGTCGTGAGCCTGGCCGTCTTCTTGATCTCGAGTATGATAGTGAAGAGGATCCTGGAGAAGAGGACAAAGTGGTTCCAAACTCTTCAAACACAAGGTGAAATCTCTGGGCCTCTTCATCTGTTCTGCAAAGCATTGTGAAGTTTTCTTGGTTTTATGGACTGTAACTTTTATTGAGTTTATGGCTTGTAGCAGGGTTTCCTAATCTTGACCATTTTCAGCGATATGGACTTCAACTCCCAAAATTCCACTAGCAAAACCATTACTGTGAATTCTGGGAGATGAAGTCCACTCACCTTCAATTTACCAAGGTTGGGAAAGATTGGCTTAGAGAGCGGGGGTGTCAAACTCGCAATGTCACATGACATATCGTGACTTTTTCCCCATTGCCGGCAATGGGGTGGGCATGGTTTCACTATGATGCATCCGGCCCGTGGGCCGGCAGTTTGACACCCCTGGCTTAGAGTAATGTGTGAACTCAGTCTTTGATGTCAGTTGACCTGCTTCAGACAGAATCCCTTTGGAGTTGGAACAAGAACTAACTGCCACAAGGAGAAGCTGCAGGGCATGCTAAGGCCTTGAAATTATGGTCTATTTCAGTGTTTCTCAACAATTTTAAGGCATGTGGACTTCAACTCCCAGAATTCCACATGCCTTAAAATTGTCAAGGTTGAGAAACACTGGTCTATTTGGATAAGGAGAAAAGCGAGCTATTTTATTGATATATCTTAATTCCCAATTTTGTCTCCTCTACCATTACATATATCTGTGCCTTTTCCCATCTTGTAGCATAATTCCCTTTTCAATAAACAAAAGAAAAATCAAATGCTAGCCATAGCTAAGAAATGCTTAGTATGTAAATGATTTTGCTTGCCCACGCACCCATAAGCACTTTCCCAATTCTGTGACTTTGTTCTTATATTGTGATTTGGGAATATATTTCAAGAGAGCAATGTGGGGTTTGAAGATAGCTTACAAAAAGGTGAGCTGACGTTCTCCAGATATTCTGCTTTACAACTGTCCTAAATCATTGGCCACGTTGATTGGGGCAAAGGGAACTGAAGTTCAAAACAATTTGAGTAGATCAAGTTGAGAATCCTGATGAAGGAACACGCACCTAAGCAATTGCCATTCTATATTTTGTGGCTTGTTTGTTCTTCAGCGTGGGGATGTTTTGTTCACCCCCGTGTCAGTTGGTTGAAAATTGACTTAGAAGTTGTGAAAGAATGTTTCAAAACAAGATCACATCGCTATTTTACTGAAGAGGGGGAACTTGAGGAAAATCCTTTTATTTGATCCGCTTTTTCTATCCTGCACCATGTTAACCTCACCTATCTCCAGCAAGAAGAAAAGTGGTCTTGGAGGCATGTTTGGAATGCTGAAAGGTCTTGTGGGTTCTAAAAGCTTGTCAAGAGAGGATATGGAGCCTGTGCTGGAGAAGATGAAAGATCATTTGATTGGTAAGACTGAATTCCTTTGACAAGAGGTCAGTTTTGGACTTCATACAGTTCTACTTATTCCCCCAGCAGAGTCAGAAAAGCTGGCCATGTTGTTAGTTGGGGCTTAGAAGTCATGGCTTTCTTTCTTGAAGGTTAAGCGAAAGAAAGATAGAGGGAGCAGGGAAATTGAGCGTCAAGACTTATAAGTCCCCAAATTGCTTACAAAATGCATTTTGTATCGTATTTTCCTTCTTGATCCTATTTTCAGATCAAACTCTCATTGGTTTATAACCTAGTCAACACCCCAAATGCCTTTGACCTTCCATGCTTCCAGAGTTGATCCTCCAGTTAAGATCAATCTTCTAATCTAGGACTATCGGAGATTGGACAAGGGCTGTCTAGATCTGTACACTGCAGCAACATCTGTTGGATATTTAAAAATATTTAGAGGCTGTGGGGATATATAGAAGCTGTGTATCTTGAAACTTCAGTTGGGTTCGGGAGGATTTGAATTTATAGCAAAGCCAAGTAGCCTGCAGCCCTCAATTCCCCTTTCTGCAGTCCTTGTAGTTATGATCGTTACGATGTCCCTTGTCTTTCTTGAATAAATGAATACCGGAGGAGCCTTAAAATAACCTTTTCTCATAATCTGCACTTTCTTCCCACCCCTCATATTCCATCTTTGGAGCATTAGATATTCCATCTTTGGAGTTTAATTCCATCTTTGGAGCCTTAGATGGTTTGCATGGCGAGGACTTGCCGTTTCCTAAAGTGACAACAGAAGAAACCAAAGGGCTCAGCTGGGGGATGCTGGCTTTAAATCTAGAGTGTCTGTAGGCAGCACTATCTTACCTCGGTTGTTGCGAGACTCAGATGTCTTATAATACGAACTAGAAACGTTAACATTCTTAACTCAAGCGTGCCTTCTGTTTTCCCAAAGCGAAGAATGTCGCTGCGGAGATTGCAGTTCAGTTGTGTGAATCTGTTGCCAAGAAACTGGAAGGCAAAGTGATGGGTACCTTCACCAGTAAGTGTTTCTAACTTTCTAGTCGCTTTTCCTTGTATTGCAGACTTGCCTCATCTGTTGGCACCATCCTTGGATACGAACCCAAATGCACTCATTCATGGTGGAATGCATATCTCGGAATAGCTTGGTTTTTCTATTTTAGAGAGATTATTCGGTCATCCATCAGAAAAGACAGTGTACATCACAGTAGAGCTTATAACACTCCCTTTGCCCAGTAGAGCATTTTGCAAGTATACCAGTCCATAGTGATTTCTGTTGCGGTAGTCCATTCCCAACTAGAAAGAGACGGTGTTAAGTTCAAAGCATCATTGGCCAAAAGAATATCTCATGAAATGTTTTTGGTATGTTTTGATGAGAATTGAAAGGAGATACCTGCACAGAAAAGTTACACATGTGGCATACTTAAAACAGCAACTAGGCTATATATAATTCAGTTACACCGTTTCCTGGTATCCTTGATTAATCATGTCCCAGACTGTCTATCTGCTCTCCCTATTTGCTATGGGGTATGGGAGATTTCCAATAAAGTACATCGTAAGGAGGGAATATATCGCTTGCTTTCAATTTTCCAGCGGTGACCTCAACTGTGAAGCAAGCTCTTCAAGAATCTCTGGTGCAGATCCTCCAGCCTCAGCGCCGGGTGGACGTCTTGCGTGATGTGATGGATGCCAAGGTTCACCGACGACCTTACGTTATCACTTTTTGTGGCGTCAATGGAGTTGGGAAGTCAACCAACTTGGCCAAGGTATTGTAGAGGCTTCCCTCTTGTGTTTGTAAGCAACTGGAAGTTCGGATCTACTAAAATCTTTAATAGCCCAACCTATCAGACTGGCATAATGAGTCATTTTATGGAGATGTAGACACGGGAGGCCCTCTTTTTGCTAAAGGCCTTCTGCTATAAACATGGTGTAAAACGTTGCTTGCTTTCTTGACCCCCTTACTTCAGGATGGCTCACCTGTCCTTAAGAATGATATATTAGTTTATCAATATATTGGATTTTGTGCTTGGAGGAGTTAGCAAGCTCATATTCTTCTGCCCACCCTCCAGATTTCTTTCTGGCTGATTGAAAACGGGTATAGTGTCCTCATTGCTGCCTGTGATACCTTCCGTGCCGGAGCTGTGGAACAACTACGTACTCATACTCGCCGCCTGAATACTCTGCATCCACCAGAAAGCCACAACGGCCGCACCATGGTGCAGCTTTATGAGAAGGGATACGGGAAGGATGCAGCCGGCATTGCCATGGAGGCCATTTTATATGGTAAGGCTTACTCCACTGTACACGGATTATATTTCTGGCCCCACCACAATCATGTTGATGCTGGAAATGTCTTCTCCCTTCTCCTGCCTTTGCTCTTCCACCTCTGAGGAGGCTACAGAATATTAACCATTTTGTCCCCCAGCCTTATTCCTTTGACCAAGAATGCGCCATCTTTCTTTTTTGCCAGCCTGCAACCAAGGTTTCAATGTGGTTTTGGTGGACACAGCAGGCCGGATGCAAGACAACGCTCCCTTGATGACAGCCCTGGCTAAGCTTATTGCGGTTAACACCCCAGATCTTGTTCTGTTCGTGGGTGAAGCTCTGGTGGGAAACGAGGCTGTGGATCAGCTGGTAAGTGTTTCATCATTTGTGGACGATGGTTTGAGCCATCCTGGTTTGGCTCATATTACAGTATCAAAGTTAATTATAATATCCAAGCCATAAACCAGAGATGGGCAACTTGCAAATACTTAACTCCCAGGTGACTTTTCTCTGACCTTGGAAGTCATTGAGGATTGTGCTTCTTCCGCCATTTGGTAACTTTCTGGAATGTGTGTTTGTGTTTGTGTGTGTGTGTGTTTTAAGCAAAAGAACCCTTGAATGAGGCTTCACACACCTCTTTTACCGAAACTCCCCAAAAAGGAGTGAAGGAGATGCTGACAGTGGATTTGAACCTAGCTACAAACTCAGGCATCTAATTCATGTCCTTTGAATGGTGGTTATCATCCAGTGTGTTACACTGAGGAATTGGGCTGTAGATCACTTGTGTGGAACACTGAAGGTTCTACAACACATAATGTGAACATTTTTAACATTAAAAAGAGCCGAGGTGGCGCAGCAGTTAGAGTGCAGTACTGCAGGCCACTTTAGCTGACTGTGTTCAGCAGGTCAGCGGTTCAAATCTCACCGGCTCAAGGTTGACTCAGCCTTCCATCCTTCCGTGGTAGGTAAAATGAGGACCCAGATTGTTGGGGGCAATGTAAATATATATATATATATATATATATATATATATATATATATATATATATACACACACACATATATACATATACACACACACACACACACACACATACACATACATTGCTTACTGGTGTACACCGCTTAGAGAGTGCTTGCACTTAAAGCGGTATATAAGTCTCATAAATAAACAAACAAACAAACAAACAAACAAACATAATGTGAATAAAGGACAAAAGCGTACTTCTGTGCAGATTTTTCCAAACCCATTTCCTTTTTTCCTTCCACCGCTCCTCCAGGTCAAATTTAACAAAGCTCTTGCGGATTACTCCATAGCTCAATCCCCACGTCTCATTGATGGAATTGTTCTCACCAAGTTTGATACCATTGATGACAAGGTAAATACTGGGTCATTTGAATTCCTTGCTTGAGGCAGGTAGCACCTTTGATATGTTTAGGCTGGGACGTGTCTTAGACCAGCTTGGCAGCCTCTAGGCAATTTTTGTGGAAAGCACAGAAATTAAAAGAATTGCAAGAAGCTCTAAGCCTCCGTTGCCTGATATGATGGCCACTGCTTGCCTGAACAAAACAAAAGGACTGCGTTTCTGGCTGGGGAAAAAAAAAAAATCCATATTGTTTAGTTTGCTTTATACATTAATTATGGCAACCAAGGAATAGATTCCTTTGCAATTATTCCCTCTGGGATATTGTAAGGTCCTTGGCTTAAAATAACTTCTTGGGTTCATCCCGATTTGCTTGGTCCCCTGAAGGCCTGCAACACGTGTGCTGTTTGTTTTCCTCCCCAGGTTGGTGCTGCAATCTCCATGACATACATCACTAGCAAACCGATTGTCTTTGTGGGAACTGGACAGACTTACTGTGACCTACGTAGCCTTAATGCCAAGGCTGTAGTTGCTGCTCTTATGAAGGCCTAAGCATCCATCATTGCACCAAAATCCTGTTTGCCGATGTCTTTGGAATGTGCTTTCCAATGTGACTTTTCCTGGAATCTTGCCCCACCCCACACCCCATCCCTTCATCCTTTGCTTTCTTTTGTCTTTGTCTGTTTGTTTGGTTTTTTTTTTTTGGCATAGTGCAACAGAGCATAGAGGAGCGCTAGGTAAAAACAAATAAAGCCACTGTCCTCATTTCATTATATATTGCACAGTTTCCTCCCTGCAGTGCATGGGATTTTAGAGAAAGCTACCTGTCTTCAGTTGTATTCCACTTATTTAAAATGACTTTGTCCTGCTCTAAAGTTCTTTGAGAGAAGTCTTTCTCAAAACACCTCCTCTAGAATACCTCTTTGCTCCATACTCGCTCATCCAGTAAGCCTTCTTTCCAGCCTTTCTTTCTTTCTTTCGTTCCTTCTCTTTCTTTTCCTTTTTCCTCCCTCCATTCCTCTGTCGTTTTCTCTAGCTCATCCTGGGTTAGTGGTGTCACAAGAATGGAGGAAGAGAGTTGTGCTCCAGTCCTTGGGCTTGGCTGACATACCTCAGATTCAGCCTTGGGCCTAAGCAGTCACTCTGGAGGAGATTTCTGGGGATGAGAAACCGAAGGGATGACGCCGGAACAAATGACTGTTTCCTAGCCTTTAAATCAGCTGTCCCTGATTATTATGTGGAGCAGAGATAGAGTCTGCTAAGGCTGTAGGCTTCGTAAGCTGGCTTTGATCACAATTCCCCAACTGCAGAGCAAAAGAATCACAACCGAGTGTAAGGGTAAATCTGTTCTCAGAGGAGGAAGTATGAATGAATGTGGGGGCTGCCGATTCCTTCACAAAGTCTTCTTGTCAACTCCTTATGCATTAAGCGTGTCTGAATTGTCTGATGACCCTGCGTGTTATCTTTGCACACGATCTTCAATCCACACCAGAGAAGCAGATGGTTGTGTGCCTGACGGTTCTCTAAGGACACTTTCTGTATCTGGTCCCTTCTCCGGCCAACAGGGTCCTTCCCCTAAAGGGAAAAACAAGTCTTTGTATGGATTTTAATTTTGGCAGGTGAGCTGGTTTCAGGAGAGGGTTTAATGATTTCTCTCTCCCCGTCAAGGGGGAGGGATACACATCCAGCCAGCAGGAGCCACTGCATGCTATCCTATCTGCAGCTGGCTTTTGTTTTCCAAACCAACAGTCTGCTTCTTTCTCCCCTTCCTTCACCAGGGATGCTCCTGGTGGCTGCCTGCTGCATTCCTCCCTTTTCCTCTCCTTTCAGAGTGCCTCTTGATCCTCATATAAAGTGCTATGTTGAATAACACCAATGTCTCTACAAAGACGCCTTGGTAGCTCAGCATTGCAGATGTGCCCTAGTGCAATAAGTTGAATGCTGCCTGCTGAAAATTTATATAATAAAATTTCTAAAACCTTTTCTTTGTCTTCCTGGATTTGAAAAGCCGTCTGGGGGTGCAGCTTGCTCACTTTCTGTTCTTCTATTCTCGCTAGGCCCACCTGTGGAATTTTAGGTAGGGCCTCCAGCTTTGTAGCAGCAGAAAGGAAGCTGTTGCTGTTACTTTAAGCCCGTAGTTTGATCTGAACATAATACATTTCCCGCCCGTCCACCTGCCCACTGGACAGGTTGAAACAAAAATCTGAAAAGTCTTGTGTATCCACAGTTATGCCACTTTGTCCATTAAAGACCAAATTAACACGCAAGCATTAACCCTTCATGTGATTTATTTTTTTGGCTTGTGAGTGTCATATACAAACCACCAGATAAGATTGATCAGTAAACAATAGCTTTAAAAATCACAACTTAGTAATATATGAAAGCAGACAAAATATAGTTAAATAAGTCTAGCTAAGCTAGCTTCAAACCGGCATTTAACTGTACATCGAACAGGTAAGCCACAAATTAGTCTATTTTAGTAAACTGTATCGCACCAACCCAGAATTGAGTAGCTATGTAAACCGTGAGTCAGTTAACCAAAAGTATTGTATGCATATTATGCTGATCAACATCATTATTAGCAATAATTTACATAAAGCTCACGTAAATCGGAGACAGGTGAACTTTTTAAAAATCCCAGCTTCAAATTTATACAGTATAAAAGATTTAGAAAATTAGAGTTTCACTTTTTAAAAAAATGTTCACGTGACTCAGTCTAAATTTTTACAGAATATCAAAATAGAAGTAATAAATTCAGTTTTGAAGAGATCGATAATATTTTTTTTATTGACACAAACCCTAAATAGAAAACGAGATCACAATGAATAAACATGTCTTCATCTCTGGGAAAATCTCTCTTGGAAGGAATTTCCAACATAATGCCTTAATCTACAGCAGTGTTTCTCAACCTCAGCAACGTTAAGTTGTGTGGACTTCAATTCCCAGAATTCCTCAGCTAGCCATGCAGTCATATAACTACAGGACCTGCATGTCACTTGCTCTGACAATATGCCGAGCATTGTCGGTTACTCCCTGAGTATCTTCAGTTGTTGTCTGTCCTTACTGAAGGGAGATATCTTAAGAATACGGAGAATCTTATTTAAAAAAGGCTGGCTGGAAACCACACAAAATGGCTGACATGATTAATTTCTAGCTCCCAGAAGACTGAAAAAACACAGGTTCAAGTTTACCACCGTATTATCTTAGCCATACATACTCTTATAGAATATCAAGTTTACAGAGTGGTAACTTAACGGCAGTTTTGAGAAACTCCCTCTTATAAGAGGGAGGGTGAGAGGACCAGTCTACCATTGAAATACAGATTTTCCATGCATCATATCACTTCTCTAAGCAGAAATGATACCTCTCACCCAAGGATTCTCGATGCTGAAACAGGCTAGGTACTTTTTTCACAAGGGGATCTTGCAATGAACAGAAGTGGGAAAACATATTGTGAAATGTGCTTCCTGTTCCTCAGCATCAGGATCTATTAAATGATCAGGAGCGTTTGCTGCATTAATTAATCAGGAACAATATCAATGTGTCCTGTAAGCCTCATCCAGTTGGGGCCAACCTCTGGCAAATGAATGGACAAATACCAGGATATATTGCCCTAATTACTCTACACACGGGAAGCACACAATCTGTTTCACCTATCAAACCAGGTTTTCAAGAGTTCTTACTTAAGCTAAGATGTCCTGTAAAACATGGCAGTTCCCTTTTTAACAAGTATTCCTCCCTAAGAAACAAAAGTTTTTTAATTAGTTCTTCGGTGGCAGTAAGAACCATTGGATTTATTGCTTTTCTTCATGTCTCTGCTAACACAGAATCATCACAAAAAAAAAACCACCTTAATCTGGCTTATTGGGAGTTTTAAATCAGGGAAGCATCCACTGCCATTCTTCCCAGGGCATCTTCCATCCCCTGTATGATACTTTCTGCTATGCTTAGTCCTAAGCTTCTACCACACATAAAAAGACAATTTTAGTGTGAGTGGTACCTGCTGGTTAGCAAGATTCATCTTCCCAGCTAACAGCAAGGAATTCTGAATGTTAAGTAAGTTCAGTACCTTTGTTTTCAATACGCACAGTATCTGTGCCATTCAGTTGTTCCCCCTGTCGTGGACCTGGGAGGAGAGGAAAAACAAAACAGTTATCTTTAATAGAGTAGGAGGTCAAAGGATGTTTGAAAGAAATCCAGAAGCATTTTAGCACCTAAACTAAATCTCTACTTAGAAAACCTCAGAGTCTAAACTTCTAAAAAGCAGGTAGGTCCAACACAATCTGAACCATTTTAAATTGTGTATGTAATTTATATTGATTGTTGTACATTGTAACCTACATTGTATTTAAATGTTGTTTAGAACACATAAATTATTATCCCCTTCTGTCACATTAAAAAGGCAACTCTTGGTAGGGAGGGGCACATCTAAGGCCCCAGGTTGTACACCACCAAGCATCACTCTGATTCTAAATTTGGTAAATCACTAAAATAAATCCTGTTTCTTTGGGATTTCTGGATACACCATTAAACTTATACATTGGAAAATGTATTTATTTTTATTTATTTATCTATCAAATTTGTACAGTTGCCCATCTTGTAAAAAATTGACTCTGGGCAGCATACAAAGTTGAAAAACTCTAATATATCAAAAAAAAAAAAACATTATTAAAAACTTGTTTTTCTTACCCGTGTGATTCCAGTTGGAGATCTCATTTGCCAGCCTCTCAAAATATTCAGGCAAGTCTGAGTATTCCTCCCCGTAGGAGATGACCTTAATCCCTTTGTCAAGCATGTTCTCTCGCAGCTTCTTAAATTCGTCCACATCTCCACGGCGCACAAGCATAAAATGCTCCAGATCTGACTTGTGTTTCACAGCTTCAAGGAAGAGGGCTTGGAAGGTTGTGTCATCCACAGTCCAACCACAGCCTAAGAACAGGAAAGATTTGGCTTCGTACAACTTCTGGATCTCCCGCTTTAAAGGACAAGGCAGACAAAGAAGCAAACAAACAAAAAAACAAAAAACACAATGTTTCTATCTTCATAAGAAAGGGAAAAGTTACGATTATAAAAGAGTATAAAGTCACCTCCCTCAGATAATTCCAGTGAAAGCATCTGCTGGAAGGCTGTTGCAAATACCCATACAAACTGTATTATGATTCAATATTAAAGAGCCAGCACCAGGAAAAAGTCCCTCTGCAAGGTACTGAGAAAAGATTCTAAGGATTAGTTCCCATTCTCTCCTAAAGATGGAGCCATTTTTAAATCTCAACCTATACCTGTTTTGGAGATCAGGCCAGAGACAAATATGAACTGAAGGTCTACAGAGAAAATTAAGCCACAATTATTTTAACCATTCATATCTTAAGCAAGCCAGGAACAAGTCAGAATCAACCCTGCAGATAAGCACAGAAACTGTGACTTGGTTTGGCCAAATCTGTTTCCCCACACACAGACACACTTTTCCCAGTCTGTCTGATTAATTCAAGGCAGAGAATTAAAAAAAAAAAACCAAACCCCAAGATTCAAAGTGTTGATTCTCTGCAGGCCGATATGGGATAGGAACTCCATGTTTGGGAGATATTTCCAGCCTAGTATGGCAGGCTGAAGATGAGCAGGATTGGGGATGAGATGGACTCCTTAGAAATCTATATATATATTGTCTGCCTCTTCCCTTCCAATTTCAAATGTGCAGCTCCAACATTATGGCTATTTCTAAATGTTTATAAACTCAAGAATCAAAAACCAAAAACAATCTTCACTGCAAAGTCAGTAGCAGTTAAAAGGAACCTGCCAATCTCACCATAACTTCTACGTTGCGTAGGACGTTCTGGTAACCTGCTGGATGAAGCACTATTCCACTGGGATTAGTGTAGACTCCATGGATATGAAGAACACTCAGCTTCCTCTTCTCCTGTGCCCACTCAAGGACCTATTCAATGAAAGCAATCTAGGATGAAAATTGCAGTGAAACCTACATTCTAGAACAGGGGTGTCAAACTGCCAGCCCAAGGGCCGGACGCGTCACGAGACCATGCCCACCCCATTGCTGGCAATGGGGAAAAAGCTCCGATACGTTGCAGGATGTCACGAGCTTGACATGTCTGTTCTAGAATCATAGCAACTTCCTGCTCTCTTGTTTGTTACTTTGACACTCTAATTCCCTTTAATGTCTCTGTTGCTGTCTCATTCTTGCTCAAAATTTTGTTTCCAAGATTTTAGAAGTAGAAAGTGTAATTTTAGGGACATTATATTTTGATTGCTTATTGTGTAGTACTGAACATCTATTATTGATACAAATATACAACATTTTGGCCTTCAGCTATCAAGAGTAGTTTATAGATTCTCTAGGGCAGTGGTTCTCAACCTGTGGGTCGGGACCCCATTTGGGGTCAAATGACCATTTCACGGGGGTCGCCAAACAAGGCTGTCCACCATTTTTCTCCCTTTTCTTTGGCCACGCCCCTGGCACCCAGTGATGTATAAGTGGTTGGGGGTCACCACAACATGGGGAACTGTATTATGGGGTCGCGGCATTAGAAAGGTTGAGAACCACTGCTCTAGGGCAAAGTTTTCATTTCGAATTTCATTTCGAATTTCATTATGGGGGAGAGAACCAAAGCAAGCAATATGTATTTTGACAGTGTTCATGTATCAAGCTAAGCCACAACTTAGTTTATTTGCTTTTGGCTTAATGCAGTTTCCAAAATCTACCACTTTGGGCTTATTTATTAAACTTTTTCATGGGAGACTGCTCGCCAAGATGTGACTCCTCTTAGGACAGGAAGAGGGATACCTTTACCTTTTTCTCATCGGTGAGGTCAAGAGATTCAAGATGTTTCCCTTGATCAGCTGCATAAATTTCCAGCAGATCATCAAAGTTGGTGGTCAGAACAAGGGCACCGTCCTCCATCAGGTGGAGCACTGACCTCAGGAGTTGCTTCCCCGTGTCTTCCATCTTGGACTCCAGGTCATCAAAGAC